CCCCCTAAGATTCTTCGCGTACTCCCGGGGGTACGCGTACCCCAGGTTGAATACCACTGTTATAGAGTATTGTGGTTTCTTTGAGATACGGTTTTTTTTAACAAACTTACCATTTATAAGAGCTTCGACTTCAGAAGGGTGGTTTTGACACCCCACTTTCCCATGCACTTAAAATACGAGTATTCCTCTCTAGAACTTCAAAGACGTTAAGTAGTTAAGCGTAAGAGATTATACGACTTTGTTTGCTTCAGTATTAACATTTTCTAACTTAAGTAATGTGATTTTTTTGTTTCTTTGTGGGTTGTTTATCGTCTAATTGTGCACTTAAAAGTTTAAAACTAATCAGGTAACAACTGCATACGAGGTCGTCCGGCGTAGCGCCTACCTCGAACATTCATTTTAAGAAAGTAGACTCTTTATGTATCAGTCAATCCCCTAAATTTTTTTTATGCATTACCATAAATACCATAATGGCGGCCATTGTACGAGTAACTAGGTGTGAGCAACATTAGCGCCACTTAATATAGGATCTTGACATTTTGCAGTGAAAAAGACTTTCAAGAAGTATTTTGCTGTTCTCAGTTTTTTCTGTTATGTTCCTTTGTTTTTAAGAACGTAAATGTAAAGTAACGATGGCGGTCGGAAGATTCTTATAGGCGTTCGTTGTTGTCTGGTGGAAATAACTAATTAAATACTTCGGGTTGGAGAGTCAGGGATCGAAGTCACGTCCTTGCTCTCTGCATTTCTGTATGACAGACGGCACGCGTCGTCACTCGGATGAGATAAGCGCGTATTGATATGTTAAGAAAACTTATCTTTTTGTTTCACCTCTATCGTTCGTTAATTCAATAATTCTTTTCTTTCTTTCTTTTTTACTTCCCTTGCTGTGTCTCTTGTCCTCTTTTACAGCACCAAAAAGTAAATGACTGCGTAATTAACTGTGACCAGACTGTCCAGCCAACTTCAGTCCCTTCCTTCCAGCTATTTAAGTGCGATGCTGTTCCGGGCACGCTTAAAGTCAAGGCAATCTTCAAACAAACTGACGCAGCAGAAGCAAAGGTCGACGTCTAGTAGTTTCTGTCTTGTTGTATAATGAAACGACGACAGAGTACTTTAATCGATAAATATTATTCTCACATAGTGGCGCCGGAAATCCTTGAACTGAAGATAATATAAATAGTAATAATAAGAGCTCATGGAATGTAATCTTCAAAATAGTGACGTAACAAAAGCAAGGGACGCCATCTTCTAGTTTCTCTCGTATTGTACAGTGAAACGACGACGAAGTACTTAAATCCATTTTTTTTCACTGTGCGACGAATGAACGTTGTTGATCAGTGATGAATGTAAGATCTTGTGGTCCAGCTGCGGTTGTCGGCACAGAGTGATTTCCGTTCTGTTTACTCTTAACACATGCCCGATGTGCAGGACATTGGTCTACGTACACCAGTGAGTCGCGATTTTAACGGTACGAAGTTAGTTATTCAAAGGGCTTTGGGTTCGATCCCTGTTCCAAACATAGGAAGTAACAAGAAGAATCGGTTAGTACTGTGACAGTTGAAGATGGAACTAGAGATAAGTCCCCACGTGCCAGTATTAAATATATATAAAATGTGGGCTTACTTTATCAAAGGTGTTTCCAGTAGGCCGTTGTCTAATAAAGATTTACTCAGCCTTTGAAAGAGATGTGAATGAAGAGTGGAAAAGTTTGGTAAGCACGCTCTGTAATGTTTGCTTTTCTGTTTTGCGTCCCCACGGGTCTTAATATACATTTACCGCAATCTGAAATATGCTGTTTACAAAAGCATTGTCACGTACGCATGCATACGGTGTGGACAGTCAGATTGTTGACAAAATTTAGGGCAGGCATATTCTTATACAGGGTTTCCGAGAAAGTGTGCATACATTTTAAACATTTTTATTGAGAAAACAAACAGAGCTAGGAGAGTACAGTTGTCACAACATAAATCCGCAATTTAGAAAGTTTTCTCCCCACGTATCTCCATTTCACTGCACTACAATTTCTGGACACAACGTTTTCTGCAAGATTGATTGGAAGAGGTGGGTACGTTGTATGGCCTGCGAGATCGCCGGATTTAACGCCCATGGATTTCTTCCTTTGTGGGTACACAAAGGACCAGGTGTGCCGCATACAAGTCACTTGTTTGCAAGATTTGAAAAACCGCATCGTCCATTCTGTGGAAGGAATCATGCCTCAAATGTGTGGCAACGCTTTCAGGGCATTTGAATACCGGATGGACATTGTGCGAGCAACAGAGGGAGTTCAGGTCTCAGTGCAGTGAAATGGAGAAAGGTGGGGGGAAAACTTTCTGAATTGCTGTTTCATGTGGTGAAAACTGTACTCTCCTAGTTCTGTTTGTTTTCTCAATAAAAATGTTTAAAATGTGTGTACTCTTTCTCGAACATCCTGTACTTGTACGTGGTGGCCGAAAATGAAAGCTACTGAACTTAATTTGCGCTTATGCTACACGTACTGGCATGTCAATTGACAAATGGAGCGGTAATCATCAGAAAAGAGGAATCAAGAGTGAGAGAGAGGGACGAAGGAAAATCTGTTTGCTGGAAGGGCAGAGAATCATCAGCCAAGACAGCCGGTATTGGGGTCTAGATTCGAACTCTGAATACAAAGAATAGGCTAAGCGATAATCATTACAGAGCCACAACTTGTTCCTGATGAACGTTGCTATGTTTCGTTAGAAACAGTGTCAATCAGAAAACAAATATCCTGCCTCCAGTTATTAATAGACGAAAACAAAGGTCATTCTGGTTCCAGTGCAGAGCAGTGGTGGCCAGATCGGACTGGATGTAACGACACTGCAACACACAAAGCTTCAGAATGCAGTCAACAAATTAGGATTGACCTATGGGTTATCTGAGTGACTGCTATAACTTTGTCCACAGGAACGACTCATCTCAGTAACGGTACGTGCTAGACTGTCAATTCGTGTGCACGTGTACCAGCCAGCATGACGTAATAAGTTCCAAGCACAACTACAAAGCCTAGACAGGAGTTCCGTGCAGAATTCCAGTCGACAGGAATTACCTCCGCCATGTTTTTTTCACATTCTACCAAAAATTTCACATTTTTTTCTTCGAATAACTGTTAGTATACACAGTTTTAGGACCCTACATCAAGTTTTCAGTAGTGTCACTTCCACCTGATAAATCGGCCATGCTGTTGTAACCTGAGTGTAGGAATATTACATGTACGAAGTTGCGGTAACGTCCCATAGCATAACCCTTTGAAGCCGAAACGCGTAATACAGTCCGTACCTTAAAGAAAACAAAATTCAATTGTTTTCACGCTGCTCACGGTATAGCCTACTATGAGATTACGAGAAACTCTATGAATTGCGACAATGATTCCTGGGCAACCGCCGAGGTTTAGTGACAGCTTTTAGCCTTGTGTTAAAATGGTCCTTCGTTAGATCCCAACTGTATAAAAGAATTCCGACAGCAGAACGAATGTGTGGTTTATATAAGGCTCGGGTCAGAGGAGTAAGGATACGAAAGTTCAAGGCAATATACAATCATCTCATTGATGATTCGTCTTGGCTGTATAGTCCTTTGTGAGTTTTGGTCTCTATTGGAGAGAATTTCAAAATCCTTAGCGGCAGGACTCATTGGATAGGCATACAGGTATCGAAAGGCCGATACAGTCTCTCAGTAGTGTATTCCTTGAGCTGCAGCCCGATTCAGTTTCGACCTCCTTTATTGTAGAGAATTTTCAAATACGTAACAAGTAAGGCAAGGCCTCTCTCACTCCAGAATGATTCTAGCCTTGACGGCTTTCAAATCAGTGATAGGAGAACAAAAGAAGTCTTACGAAGATGGAAGTTCGAAACTGATATTTCTGAACTGAAGGAATAGTTAAGCCCTACCCCTGCAATACGCATGTGGAAAAGGTGCTGTTGAATTTTTGTTGGTCTTTGAATTATTTTTTATTTTGTTTTTGAATTCAAACAGTTTAGGAGCGAAACTCGTATATTTTGTCGTCCTTTAACAGCCGATTCGATTTAATATATTGTGGCAGCTGAGAGAAAATGTTTGGATCGTTATCAGCTAGTCCCTGAAGCCGCGCGGTCAGCCTGTGGGGCATGGATGTTTTCTTAGGTTTTATGCAACATAAGATTTTCTCTACTTATTGTATAAGGATTTAGCATTAATTAGGAGATTACATATATTTGTAGACTCTTAGCACTGACGCCGTATCAAGACCCTCAATTTATGAGTCATAGCATAGCAGCAACAGATCAAAGTCGGACTCTCGCACTCCGACTGGGATTGAAGATGTCGATCGCAGAGTGCGGGCGAACCAAAACCACGGTCGTAGTCTCCGAAGGGAACATTACTGTTCAATGTGAAACGCTCAGAAACCTGCAAGTCGTCTGTAGTCTGTGAGAAATCCTGGTCTATTTTTGCAGGTGGTATCTACCACATACTCCCTCCTTTTCATAACAGGAAATTTCATTACAATGTGTACAGACAGCGCACACTGAGCGTTCCTTCAAACGGATAGATCCAGTTCATCATTATTTTTAACTAGAACTTCATGTTTGTCGAACCGACTGCGGTCTGCTAATTGTTATTTGTTTATATACGCATGTTTGTCGTTCTGTAGTTGGTTGTCTGAGATACCGTAGTCCAGACCTCCAAGATTCACACAAGGTTCTTGACTTCAGGTGTTGTGAAGTGAGCTGCTTCCATTTTATTCATATCAGCGCCTTTCCCGAAGAGTAAACAATTCCACTGCATGCTTGCTTGTACACTTCTCTTTGAAAAGAGTTGCGACTAAAACTTGGCAGTATTACTCAGCCTTTCAGTAGTCGCTGTTACGCGGCTGGGTGCTTGTTCATTGTTTGAACGTGGCAGTCAGTGTTGTGTGTTCTTACAGAAATTGGTGCATTGTTTTACGTGTGTGTGTGTGTGTGACATCCTAACGAGTTGCAACGCAAGGTTTGATTTTATCAGGTATCCGAACAGTTCTTGTTAGTACGGAGTTCGAGGTCATGGACCTTTTTCGCCGTAATTATCACTCGGAAAATTGGCTTATAAGCTGATTTTGCATGTGTCGCATTTTGGTGTTCGTTCTTTTCAACTTCTGATTTTTTTAAAATCTGTATGATATTTGAAGGTCTGAGGACTTCTGTATTTTAAAGTGAAATTTGCGCGGAAGTAAACCATTTGCAACTGTGTTTGAGAAGTCGAGGAAATTGTATTATTTTTTAAACAAATTTTTCTCGAAAACAAGTGTAATCATATTTCAAGGTGAATTATTATTTGCTCTTTATAGTGACTGTGCTGGGCATGCGATTTTCGGAATTGTAGCATACGGACGTTTATAAGTAGAATAATAATTAGAACAAGAAATTGTTTAATATTGTATTCGAAGTTCATAGTAAACTGTGGAGCAGATATAAAAATAAGTCGTAAACATTCCAATGGCTGGAGCCAATCACAAAACGTTTTCCTATCAAGCTTAGTGCCCAGTCGTGGTCACCAAGTATTTATTTTATTCAGTCTCGTTGCTAGTGTTTCAGTAGACCCTTAATTTTTCTTGCATTTCGTTGTCAGCTTCAGGTACGTCTGTCGTATTCGTTAGGTAGATGATATTGCTAGTCTCCATTACGCTGTGTATTAAAGTGAAGTTACTGACAAACACTGAATCTGAAGTGAGATTAGCTTGGATTATGGGAACGATCCGATGGAAGAAAAAGTGTTTGGAAGTTCGGCGTTGAGGTTATCAGTACTGTGTTAAAAACGAGTTCGTGTATTTCGTGTATTGGATTTCATATAGTGGATGGAGGTTGATGCAGCACGTGCCAGCCAGCCCTGAACTGTCATTGGCCTACCGTTTGGAGGGGTCACCCGAATGAGATTAGTTGTGTACACCTGGATGAATGGCGGTTGATCTAACAGCGATAGCACATCCATGTCAGGCAAACGTCGAGTAGGTTTGGGCTGCCAGAAATTGATAACATTTTTTTAAATTCTGAACCGTTGGTGTCGTTTTAGCTGGAAAATTGTTGATTTAGAGTGCTTTGCAAGTACAGAATGAGTGTACTTACATTTACATTTCATAATATTTTGAATGAATAAAGACTATATCATAGTAAAGTAATGTTGTATCCCAACAAAATTTGTTTTAAAATTTTTATGTTCTTTCTCTTGATCAACTATTGAAAGAATTTTCTAAAATTGCATTGTAGTATTTTAAGTGAAATGAATGGATGTGAGGTCTGACATAATTTAGCAGAGCGTATCTGAAGATGGGAGTGAAATAATTTGGAATATCACTTTTCTGATTTTGTTTTTTTAGTTCTGTTTCCTAGTGGACTCATGTTTTGTATGTTACTTTGTTAAAAAGTAAATCATTCCTTACTGGAATGTTTACATTTACAGAACATTTGCTTTTGGTACAGTCTTCGCATCTATTACTTTTAACATGTAACTAACTCCATGGCTCATGGTCTGTAAGAAACTGATTACCTCTCAGCTGGTTAAGAAGTTTTCCACCGTTTTTGGAACCAGAAAGTTTACGTGTTGACAAAGCCTAACACTGGACCCTATCCTGAGCCAATGCCCTGTTGTTTTTTAAAGATTTCCTTCAGATGTGTTACCTTAATTAGGGCTGTAATTTATCTGTTTGAGGCAGAAGTATCATCCTCTTTGAAGTAAGTTTATTTTATGAGCTTTTTATCATTAATTTTGGTAAATCTGTAATTAAATTGTTTTTTAGAAAGGCCTTGTGCCCATATCTTCTTTAAATGCATCTACAGATTTTGTATTAAGCATGTTTTGTGTCAGTTCTGGTGCAGTTTATTAAGTGAATATTTGTTCACACCTAGAAAAGTGGCATGGATGATTTTATATCGAAAACAAGTATGGTTGGAAAATCAAAAATTTAGAGACAACTTGGTAGGTTATTGTGTAGATGGGAGAATAATTTTAAAATGAATCTTATCTTCATTTTTGTTATCTTTGTTTTGGTAAGAAATAAGTATGAAGGTATGGACTGGATTTAACTGATACAAACTAGAGTCTGGTGTCAAGCTTTTGTGAATGTTTTGAATTTCTGTGTTCCAAAAATATGGGCAGTTACCTGACCCAGTGAACATGTATCAGCTTCTTAAAGGAAGACACTGTACAAAGGAGTTTGTTATATATTTTAAGTCCAGGATGTGTGCAGCCTTCAATCTCATTAGGTGGCCCCTTCATTTAACAAGGTAATTATATAATTAATTACATCTTTACTCTTAAGTGACAGTGATATTAAGTTCTTCTTTTTGAACTTGATAATTACATTATGCCATTATATTCAGTGATTCAGATTGAGGTTCTCAGGGCAGCGAAGATGGCGATCGTAGTCTTCGTTTTCTGGGTTGTTGCACTGTCTGGTTAGTAATGTTATTTTGAAACACTGGTAACCACCTGCAAGGCCACAAAATGTCACAGCCATGATTGATACATTTGCTGATTATAAAAGAAAATTATTCTATTACTATAATTTTTTCATGAAATGTGTACTGAAAGTTGTTGATTTTACAGCAGAAGTCAGAAACTAGATCTTGCTTCTAACTGATTTCAAGATTTAGAAACACAGAAGCTAAACCTCCTTCACTGGGACAGTTCATTTGATAAATATCACAATTTATAGAAACCCAACATGTGAATTAACGTGATGTGTTCACTACATACAATTTAAAAGAAATTTTCATAAATTTTAAGAAATTTCTTGATAACATTGGGATATAGATAATGACATTTTCAGTTATTTCAACCCAATATTTTAGTTTGATGTGTTCTAAGCGTGAAGATCCTAAAATGAATGTATAATAGAGTGATTGTGTCTGTTTCCTTTTTGAAAATACTCAGTAGGTTTCAGTTTGTTTGGTATTGGGGTTCTGTGCTTTTGTCAGGCAAATTTGATTTTGAACCATACACGTTATTCAGATTCCCTGCTGTACATAACACCTGATTTAAACTTTATTACATTTTTCAAGAATAGCTGGCTTATTTTAAAATAAATAGTTTATGATAAAATCTGCAGCTCTCATAAGAAATATTTTTCTTGGGGTAAATATGTACAAAGTATTTGTAATATTTATAGTATTATTAAGTTTGTAGCAATAGAGGTGTGTCTGCAGTGACTATGAAGGCAAATGAGGCATGAAAAATTGTAAAGAAGGCATTTGAAAAATATGTGTACTCCAGTGGTGTATATCTTGCCACTGGTTTACACAACATGCTTTCCACCCAACCTGGTACCTGTTATGTGGAAACAAAAGAGATAATCAGGATAGACGTGAGGGAAAAAAACAATCATTAACTTACTTTACTTGTAACTTTACAATTTTACTCATTTTAAATGATTTTATGGATGGAAGAATGTCAGTGAGAAACTTGGGAAGGCTTTCTTTGTCACCAACTTCTCATATCCTAGTCTTTGTATGTTTGGTCTATGAGCCTCAAATTGTCTACAGTCTAACTAAATAAGTGACATCACAATCAACTGTTTAGTTATATGGATGTTTATTCATTTCTCTTCAGTAGGGCCTTATAGTTCATAAATATTCAGGTTATATTTATCATTAGTCTCTGCTGTCGTGTTATCTACTGTCTGTGCATATTTGGCAACATGGATCTTACAGCCTTATAATATGTTTTCTAAGCTGCCTACACTCACTTCTATTATGGTTATTAACACTAACAAAGAGTGCAAATACACAGTATGCATAACTGGATTATTCATACTACATGTGACTTGTTGAAGCTGGTGTCAGGTAGGGTTGTACAAATCATTCCTACCAGTAAGTACTTGCTGCATTTGCACAACACAATATATTTATGTTTCCAGAGGTCCATTTTTATGGGACTCAGTATGTAAGTAGAATTTCTGGGAAGAACGCATGCTACCTGCTTTATTTCAAACATTTCAGTATATTCTGTGAGGCTTTACTAAGTGATTACTGATTGATCCATTTCTGTGCATAATTCCGACTGAAACAATTCTGACTACATTCGATTTGTTAGGCATAATATCAAATGTTTTCCATGTTTGTAATTGTTGATATTTTTATTGAAAAAATAAACAGTTCTTGAAGGAGTCACTGTAAAAATTGGCATATGACACCAGGACTTCAAATCTGTATAGTTTGACATTCAAGGAGACAATTTGCACACAAAGAGGGCATGAAGATTCCTCAGCGGGAACTTCTTTAAGCATTATCATGTAGAATATGTCTCACATATGGTAAAATATGTGACAGTTAAAGGTTATGTATGATTTGAGGTTTTCACAGCGGTGAGTATGAAGATTTCGGTCTTCTGGGTTGTTGTGCTGTGTAGCCTGGTCGATGTTAACCAACGTTTCAGAGGTCATACTGCCTCCGTCATCAGCCCTGATGACGGAGGCAGTATAACCCCTGAAACGTTGGTTAACATCGACCACACTACACGGCGCAACAACCCAGAAGACAGAAATCTTCAGTTAAAGGTTAACTCACCATATCTTTTATACATAATACATAAATGGAAGGTCACATTTATTGTTTCTTTTTTCTCCAGGGTGCTTCCTAGATAATGGCTCATGATAATGGATAATGAACAACCCCATCAGGAGCTGGTGAAATGTGTGGTGGTGGGAGACACTGCTGTGGGCAAGACACGTCTCATCTGTGCTCGGGCATGCAACAAACATGTCTCACTGTCTCAGCTTCTAACAACCCACGTACCAACAGTCTGGGCCATAGACCAGTACCGTATTTACAAGGATGTAAGTTCATATTTTGTTTGTATGTATTAATCCTGCCAATGCACTAGTGCAAACCCTGGCAGTTGTTTTTACCCTGGAGAAAGGACCCCCATTACCCATTGGATAGGAAGCTGGGTTGGCCTCAGAGCCTGTCTGGATGCTGATGCTAGAATAAAATCTCTCCCCCTGCCAGGGACCTAACCCCAGTTGTCCAATTTATAGTTGGACATTATACTGACTAAACTACTCCAGCTCATAAGTGGACATTTTTCGTCTCTTTGTTTACAGGTATTGGAGCGTTCATGGGAGGTGGTTGATGGCGTGAATGTTTCATTGCGGTTGTGGGACACATTTGGTGATCATGAGAAGGATAGACGATTTGCATATGGCAGGTGTGTATGAAGGCACAGGCTAGTAAGTTAAAAGTTTTTAACAAGTTACGTAACAGGCGTTTAAATGAACCTGTGTTCCGAGCATCTGTGGTTTAGTTGGCTAACACAGTTTTTTAGTAGGAAAAGTAAAATACTTCTATTAAACATACATAAAAATCAGAATATTTTAAATCCTACAAGATTTTACATCTGTTGGAATTTTAACTCACCATATCTTTTATACATAATACATAAATGGAAGGTCACATTTATTGTTTCTTTTTTCTCCAGGGTGCTTCCTAGATAATGGCTCATGATAATGGATAATGAACAACCCCATCAGGAGCTGGTGAAATGTGTGGTGGTGGGAGACACTGCTGTGGGCAAGACACGTCTCATCTGTGCTCGGGCATGCAACAAACATGTCTCACTGTCTCAGCTTCTAACAACCCACGTACCAACAGTCTGGGCCATAGACCAGTACCGTATTTACAAGGATGTAAGTTCATATTTTGTTTGTATGTATTAATCCTGCCAATGCACTAGTGCAAACCCTGGCAGTTGTTTTTACCCTGGAGAAAGGACCCCCATTACCCATTGGATAGGAAGCTGGGTTGGCCTCAGAGCCTGTCTGGATGCTGATGCTAGAATAAAATCTCTCCCCCTGCCAGGGACCTAACCCCAGTTGTCCAATTTATAGTTGGACATTATACTGACTAAACTACTCCAGCTCATAAGTGGACATTTTTCGTCTCTTTGTTTACAGGTATTGGAGCGTTCATGGGAGGTGGTTGATGGCGTGAATGTTTCATTGCGGTTGTGGGACACATTTGGTGATCATGAGAAGGATAGACGATTTGCATATGGCAGGTGTGTATGAAGGCACAGGCTAGTAAGTTAAAAGTTTTTAACAAGTTACGTAACAGGCGTTTAAATGAACCTGTGTTCCGAGCATCTGTGGTTTAGTTGGCTAACACAGTTTTTTAGTAGGAAAAGTAAAATACTTCTATTAAACATACATAAAAATCAGAATATTTTAAATCCTACAAGATTTTACATCTGTTGGAATTGACTATGGGTGTTCATTTGAGTAAATATGAATATTAATTTACAGTAAACTGATAAATATAACAACTGCATAGGTAAATTAGTGTGTGAAAGAAATATTTATTTTTAGGACAAAATAAGTGCATGATGTGGTTTTTTTGTATATTCCTTCAAGATCAACCCTGATAGTAAATATAACAAAGAAGTAATTATTCATATTAATATACCACTAATGTCCATACAAAGCATAGGAACACACAAAAAAAGATGAATATTGAATGGAAGGATTATGTTTATTTTAGAAAGGTTTCTGCATTATTTTATTAGTAGTTTTGATAACTATTATACATAAACAGTGAAAATTTAATGTTTTGCAACATATTACAATTTGTGAAAATTATGCAACAGTGGAATATATCTGTTGAAGAGGTTAAATATTTCAGATTGCAAGCCATTGGTCACACTCTGAGATTACACTCACTGATGTAATTTTAAAATATTTTTAGGTCAGATGTTGTACTTCTGTGCTTCTCCATTACAAACCCTGTGTCTTTGCGGAACTGCAAGGTAATGTGGTACCCAGAGATCAGGCGATTTTGTCCGCAGACTCCTGTTCTACTAGTTGGTTGTAAGAATGATCTGCGTTATATGTACCGGGATGAGACCTACCTCAGCTTCTTCCGTGATCGCAGCCCTTTTGTTAGGTGAGAAGTGTGGCAGTTTTTGATTTATTTTCATTTAATTACCATAATTTTAATAATAAGATAAGAGAGGGAGGTGGGATGTGATGTGATAATGTAAACAAACAGTATTTTTGGGGTCATCAAATGAAGGAGGCTACAATAATTTGTTGGAAATATTTGACATTTTATCTTGGAAATCCTGTATTGTCACCATCATTTTGTAAAATGAGCGAAATGGACAGATGTGAACTTCTGAGGGAAGAGCATGTGATGAGTGTGTTCATGTTGGTGTCCTGGGTTGTGTAATGCCTTAGGAATGTGTATTATAGTTAGATACTGTTATGGAGACAAAAAAAGAGAGTCAAAGTTAGCAATGGACTCTCTCATCCTCAAGATAGGAAGTACAGTACTTGTTCAGATACAAAGTTAAAACAGTGCTGGTTTAGTTTTAGGACATCTGTCCACAAGGAGTTTGTTCTTAAGGACAAACAGTGAACAAGCATTTTTCTGTGTGATTATTATTTCATGTGTCACACCAGAATACGTGTCTTAACAAGTGAATAATCCTCAACGCTGTTTCTGCATTCACTGAACGCTTTATGTATGCCAGTTCTCGGCAGATGAAATCAAACTGCCGTACTGGAACATCTGTCTCTTTTTCTGATGTTGACCTTCCCAGTTTTCTTCTTTAAAAAAATAGAAGTGAAAGAGCTAATTTTGCATCACTAGAAGAGATTTAGAGAATGATGACCATTGAGCTAAATCACTTCTAAAAAAAAAAAAAAAGAACTTCCAAGAGTACTATAAAGAAAAGAGCAGCATTAGAAAGTTTCCATAAATTTCTAGGGAGATTACTTTGAAAGTGGTCACAAAATACAGTTTTAATATTTACATTAAATTATTTTTTTCTGTAATCCTGTAACTTCATTGTAAAATCTTGTAATCTGTTTCGTTGAAAAACTGTTTTTAAATAATCCACGAATAATCATTCAAATTGTCTCATAATTTGAATAGGCCAACACGGAAAAGTGATCTGGTGATGCCAGACCAAGCACGTGCCATTGCCAAGGAATTGGGTGTATACTACTACGAAACCAGTGTGCTCACATACTACGGTGTGAATGAGGTGTTTGAAAATGCCATTCGCGCAGCCCTTATTGCCAGACGACAGCAGAGGTTCTGGATGACTAATCTCAAGAAGGTTCAGCGACCTCTGCTTCAGGTATATTTCACTTTGAGGTCTCAATATGTTTTAATCTGGGCTGTACAAAATTATGTTTCTTTGAAGAAGTAGTATGGCGTCCACCTCATGTTACGATGTTGGCTACTCTTTTATCTTCCACATCAGGAATTTATATTGATGTTTCTGTTATTATTATAATATATTAAAACAATCCTTTTCTTCTTTCCCTTCTTTCATGTTTTAGCCACAGTGTGTTTCAGATATAAATGACTGTATTTGCCATATATTGTCATCAACTTGCTTCTTCCTTGATGACAATCATGAACACAAGTGATCTCTTCGGAATGAAAATATTTTAGTTTCTCTTTTGGAAGAAATATATTTGATGCCGCTTTGATGATAGTATTACTAAATCTGAATATATGATTCTTTACACACAAAGGAGAACAGACACAGAAAGTTTAATGTTAATTATAGGCTCCTTTCCGGCCACCAATGCCTCCAAATCCGGAGCTTCACGTAGCTGCGAGTACGTATACTGAGAATGTGCAGGCGTTATGGCTGCAACAAGCATATGCAGACGTAATACTAGTGGCCGGCAGTGTTGGCTTCTCAGCTCACAGGTTTATCTTGGCAGCAGCATCACCAGCATTCCATCGCTTGCTAATGATGGACTTGAGCAATGAACTTGGGGCCCGAAGCTCCAGTGAGTCGAGTATGGTAAGCAATTTTGGAAGTGATAAAATTAATGTTACTTAATGTCATGTTATGTAATGTTATTTAAACAAGAAATTTAATTTAATTTAGTGATCCATTTCTGTATACCAAATATAAATTCTGACAACATTAAATTTGCCATATATATCCTCACAAATGAACTCAAAAGAAGAACTTAAGGTAATTTATTGTAGATTTAAGATACAGAAATAAAACATAAATCACTTTTCATTTGTAGGTAAGCACTTTTGGTGAAGCAACCATGGGAGACTTCAATGATGACACAGAGTATCTAATAAGACAATCCGACAATTATTTCAAACCTTCCAGGTAATATATTATTGAACTCTAGTTCTTTGGAACCATTTCCTGTCTAACATAGGAAATTGTACAACACTAACATGTCATAACTTTAGTTCACAGTGTTTCTTGAAAAGTTGATAGTTTTCCAGCTGGCCAAGAAAGAGTCTGCGTTGAAGGAACATGAGGAATGTGAGATTTAAAGCAGTGAGTATGAAGATGGCTGTCTTCTTGGTTGTTGTGTCATGTAGTTGGTATAAGTTTACCATCATTTCAGAGCCACTTACTGCCTCCATCATCAGGGCATTGACCCATTTCCATTCGTGAAATTAGCCGGTTGACCTTGCTGTGAAGTATTTGTCCTTGATTAAATAAAAATACCATAAAAATTCTGTTCTGTTTTGATACAGTCAAAGTAATACATTTACTACTATAGTGAGATTTTTACTCAGAATTCTTCAGAATTTCAAGGTAGGATAAGGAAATATGTCCCTTAAGCAAATTGTTTATTGATACAGGGTATGGGAGCAACTGAAGAGGAGGTCAAGTTGCCAGGTGTTGTCAACTGACTCAAAACAGCGGCTTGGTGTATCTCGAGAACTAAATCATCCAGCTTTCCAAGCAATTCGTGTTGAGCAGGTGATAATTGCTTACTCTGGTAGTGCAGAAAATCATAATATAGGAGATTAAGTGAGGGATGGGGAGTTCTTTTACTGAGGACTGGATGAAGCTGTTTCAGAATATTTATACCAAAGAAACTCATCATAAAAATTCTGCACTTCAAAAATTATTAAATTGTTATAAGTTATTCACACACACTGTACACACATTATAGATTTTCCAATAAATGTAGAATTAACATTTGTAATAATTAATTTGAGAGAATAAAATTTGATAAAAGCCATATTATTAATACTTGAACAATACTTACGGCTGGATCCCCCTCCCAGGCAAGAAGTAGCTCAAAGGCTACTTTTAGCCCATCTTTGAATTAAACCAGTCACATGGAAATTTGTTTTGTGATCATCTCTATTATTAAGTTTAAACAAGTTTTAAAATCACATGAAGTTGCATTTATTTATTTTTGATAATTATGTACCATCCATTGGCTTAATAAAGTAATTAAATTAATGTCCATTGTGTGTGAAATCAATTGTGATAAAATCTTGGTTGTGCATAACAAGAAATTTTAAAGAAAGATGACATGGAGAGTGTTGAGTCTTAAAAATTATCTCTCATGGTAGCTTTCACATCCCTGTACTTACGTTACAGGCTCATGTACATTTTTAAGGGGATGTGCATGAAATTAAGTTATCAAGAGGTTGTGATTATGTTTTATCTACATATTCACATAAGGATTTCTATGAAATGTATTGTGTGAAGAGTTACTAGAATTTTAGTGTAGTTTGTATTAGTTAAGTATAAACTCTGTTTTACATGGAACATAAATTCATCTTTATCTTTCTCAGGAGTGGTTCATTGAGCAAAACTTAGTTTGTGACATAAAGTATAGACTTTATTAAGCTGAACCTTTAATGTAATGTATATTTAATTAAATACTAAGAAAAGATTGTCTCAATTCATTATTGTATTCAGTCATATAGTCTTTCAAAACGGCCAGTGAAGTATGCAGAGTTATTTTGTGATTGACAAACACTTCTGTTCAGTGTTTCTTAAAATATAAGTATGGAATGTGTTGTAAACTTCTAAATATAATAATATTAGAATTGTTCATCATATCCATGGACATCACATGTTTTTTTTCTTTGAGGTGATTTTCATAAAGTATTTTTAGGATTCTGGAGTATTCCATCCTTCCTAAATTTCCAATCTATCTTCTTTCATATACTCTTATTCTTGTGTAAACATAAATTTATTTTCAGTGCTTTTCTTATATCTGTTTAAATAAAACAGTAAAGGAAAGACAGCAAGTGTAAAAACTTATTATTGTGGGTTCTGGAAAACAGTAAAGATCAGTACCCAACATTGCAGTCGATTGGTTAGCACTCCTGCTTTGTATTTCGGAGGGCTATGGTTCAAATCTCTGGGCCAAAGACTAGCTATCTTGACTGAAGTTTTTCATGGTTTTTGTTGGGTCCTCCAGGTAAATGCTGGTGTGCTTTCTTAAACTGGGCCACAACCAGTTCTTCTCTGACCTTTCAAGTAATTATTTAATAATAATTACATCATTAACACTATATAGTCAGAGCTACTGACGATTTAAAGTAACCACATAAAAAGTAATGGCAAGTGTGATCTGTAGTGTTATGGTAAATATGAATTTCATTGAAGATATCTTCAGACTCACCGCCATGAAAACCTCAAATCCTACTTAGTAAATTTCATTATTATAGATTTGCAGATATTCAGAGTTCAGCACTGCATATTCAGAGAATTATGGTTTATTGGTGACAACAGGTTATTCATACCAGAAGGATTGGCAATTGCAATTGTAACCGAAGAGTTGCTGTTGAATATTGGTGATGATTCCTGGATGAGAGTTCAAATTAAACAACTTTGATCTCTGTTCACAGATAGTTGCAAAAAAACTAGTCTTTCCTTCTCTGCATTAGAATCTGTAGTTTGCTAACAATCAACAAATAGACTAAGTTGGACATTTGTTGAAGATCTAACAGTATTTGTAGATTATATTTTTTACTAGTAACTCCTGTTGATGGCCTTTAAATATCAATAACTGTCATGAATGGGACAAATTTTCTGTAGGGACTTAGGAAATCCATGAAAAATCTCAGTTAGGATGACTGACTCTTAGCTGAGATTTAAGCCCAAGAACTTACAAATGCAAAGCAGGGGTACTTTAACTATGAGATCAGTGATTTTATTGTGTGAATAATGAGAGATATTTGTGTTTTCAGTGTGATAGTGTTGAATGTACGACACAGCGGGGTCGGTCCAATAACTCCATGCAGACAGTGGTAACTCTGTCCAAGCTGGTCACACCACAGGCCATGCAGCAATGTCTGCAGTTCCTGTATACAGGGACAATAGACAGTCGGTTCTGTGAGCTGCAGGTTAGTTGGTACCAACCACACATTAGCTGTAACTCACACTTGGACACAAGTCTGGAAGTTCCAATTATTGTTTAACATTCTCTAAAGATATGTGGTATTTGCTGATTTATTCTACCACAGTTATGATGTCATACGATTTGTTGTCAGAGGTGTATTTTAATGCTGTGTTTCAACAATGGCTTTGTATAGTCGATATTATTTAAGAATGTTATTTCAACCTTATGGATTAAATAGTGTCATACGAGAGAGAGAAATGATTGCTGAGTAGATAGGATTTTGGAAGAAGGCTTACTTTAAAGTGCTGTTCCAGCATTCACTGTAAGGTACCACAAAAACTCTGTCATGTTAGCCAGTGGCCCACTTGAGATTTTAACTGTGATTTCAGAACACAGTTCTCGAGTGTTAACTGCTCTAGCATCCAGTTTATCTTCAGCTGATTAGTTGTTGTTTATACAGTGGGAAATAGTTAGTGGGTTTGACAGTCGATGCTCTCTTTATCTGCTTAAGTAAGCACCTTTTTTTTTGAAGACTTGAAACTGAATAATTTGGCTCCACTCGCGTTTCTTAACACACATGGAAATAGGACAGTCCTCTATCGTGCGACTTATTGGAGTTACACAAGCAGTTTTCATCTATGTGTGCTTTTCATTTATGCATCCAAACTCTTTGTGAAGCTATGCTTATGAATTGAGTTATAATTTTTTATGTGTAAACTAATTACCATAATGAAGAAATTTTAAACTCTATAATTATACTAAATATTGCCTGACTAAATATGAAATAATTGTAATTTGGATATGGAAAACTTTTCTTCTGTTTCAGGCAGTGTTATCCTCCCCCTCTTGTTCCCTGTCTTTTTATAAACGAGTCCTTGAATGCTGGAATGGAATGAACAGTTTCATGCTATATGAGTCTTGTGTGATAGTTATTTAATTATATTGAAAATGTAACTTTTAATTTCAAATTACAATTGAATACACCAATTTAACCTAGTTTTGTATGCCATGTTTTTGGTTATAATGTTATGTAAAACTATAACCGTGACGTATAGTTGCTAGACTCTATCTTCTAGAGCAGTGGTATTCAACCTTTTTTGTTCGCGTACCCCCAGATATAATTTCTCTTCAACTTTGTACCCCAAAATTTGTAGGTGTATAATTAAAGTTATACATAGTATATAATTACATCTAAAACAAATTAAATAAATTACATTACTGATTATTCAGTGTTTATCATAAAATAATAGAATTTTTTTTTAAATTTCACGTAACCCCTAAGATGTTTTCGCATACCCCCAGGTTGAATACCACTGTTCTAGACTCACTGTTACACTATCCAGCTATCCAAGGACATGAATTATGTGAAAATTCTGAAATATAAATTAAGCATCACCGATCTCAATAAGGCTGTGCTGTGTATGTGTGTGTTTGTGTGTATAAACTCCTGATTATCTAGGCTAATGAAAGGGAGAAGATGCATTAATAAATGAAAAATGCTAATAATCCAAAATGTTGTGTTTGGTACATTCACAAATGTCAGAAATTATTTCTTTCTGCATAACTGGTGTTTATTTTGAGAAATGTTGTACAATGGTTGCTTGTTTTATGAACTGTTTAATCTTCTCCTCATGGCAGTATGAAACTGAAAGCTATATGTAAATTTCACACATATACTTGGTTATATATTGTATCACATATTGACGTTATCATGCGTTTCACCATCTTTGAAAATCTACCACTACAATATTTCAGGCTCATATGTTAAATAATGATAATATTGCTTCCACCTCAGGTCTGTGGACTGTCACCTTGGTATTATCAATGGTTTCCAATGTTTTGAAGTTCATACAAATTCCATGAAAATGAGCCCGTTGTAGAAGTCGATGATGAATTATGAATGATGTGGACTGCCGCTGTTGGGTTTATTTTACGGTGCCATCCCATCATTTATTTAGGGTTACTAAAGAATACGATAAAAGCATACTAAGTAGCAAATCTGTAGTTAGTCACTGGTTTTTCCTCGATTCTTCCAGTTCATTAAAGTAGATTGTGTGGAGAGATTTGAGTTTGACACTGTGCTGAAGAAGTTGGTCTTCTTAGTTGTAACACAATGTGGACTTGTAAATAGTTAGTGATGTTTGTCTGAAATGTTTGAGAGAGACATTGGCATCTGCCTACAAGTGTGCGCAGAGTTGTAACCAATAAGACCAACATAGACTATGATCACTTTGTTTCATATCTTTAACATTCACAATCATGCAGCCTTAGCAGTTGGTGTAGTTTTACCGTAGAACCAAATAACAAGAAACGTGTCTGTTGTCGAGTCTTTTTGGTATTATTCTGTATGAAAATGATAATTTTTATCCCTTTACCATGCTGCAACACCCAGAAGATATGAGCCAGCATTAAAAACCCAGATCTCATAACCAAACATTTTATTTACAAGAAATTACTTAATTTAAGTGAATATATACTTTAGGGAATGTTTGAGTGAGTGATGTTAGATATTCTAAGCAAAATCCTTGATTGAGCTTGGTGTTGCTTTGTGCTGTACCTATGTGGCTGTTATGTTCTCTTCCAGACTGTACCACTTGGACTGTTGCTGGTAATTACATTATATCTGTTCACATTTGCTAATGCTGCTGTCTTTTTTTGTTTATATTTATAGAAGCCTTTTAGAGTTTACATTCCACTTGTGATCACAGTGCTTTGATTTAGAGCTGTAGTCTGTTAAGCTAAATTGAAACCACAGAGAAAAGGAGCCTTTTAAATTGTACACAAATAGTGATGATAAATGAGACTGGTGTGTCAGCTGTTGGGAGATAATGCAGTGTTGTGGAGGGCTGGTAGCCCTACAGAGGGAAATGAGTGTTGTAATAATATTTATAATGCCTGATAAAGGGCCAGTGTTTAAGCTTGTTTAGGTGTACTCCACTTTGCATGGCATTGCATTCATAGAAAATTCAGCAATATATGAAGATAAAGGCTTTTTCTGTGGAATTTATTTAAATAAATTCCACAGGTATAGTTACATTCCATAACAGATATCTTTCAGTGGTTGACTTTGTGATTGTCACTTGTTTGGTTATTTAAAAGTGAAATAACATTGCAATAATTTAAAGACATTTACACATATAAATATGGAATCAAATAATTAGTTTATATTAAAAACTGTTATTTATATTTGCATTAATTATGCTCTAAAAATGCTTCTGAAGACCTGGTAACAGGTTTACATTAAGGAAGTTGTGGGTTATAGAAGTTAGTTTGGGGAGTATGCATTAGCAGAGGCTTTGTTTCATGGTCAACAACTGTAGTTTCTGAGGTCCAAGGAATTGAACTTTCTTCTTGCAATCAGCTGTGTCTTCCTTTTTCTGGGTTACTTTCAAGAAATGAACCATGTGAATAAAGGACGTGTCTGAAAATACAAACCACATATTCACAAAAACTTGCAAATGTAAGACAAACACATTTTTGTATACCAATACATTTGCGTTAGGAAGAGGAATGTTCTTTTCTTACCTGTTAACAACAAAACTGTTTGATGTCTCTCTTCTGATTGGGTTATTGGTCCTTGTTTCATATTGTATAAGGTTTTTATCAGCCATATAACTATCTGGGAAAACATTTTACATTAATTTGCAGTTATTGTAACATGGATGGGGAAAACAAGATATGCATATACAGTTTTGGATGAAAATTATCAGGGAAGGAGTGAACTTGTAGAAGACCTATGCATAGATATTAGGTTAATATCAGTGGTCATAGAATCATAGACTGAAGATATGAAATGAATTCAACCCATTCAGGTTAGGGAAAAATTCTCAGATTATGTAAATGTGATGAATTTTTGGGTTAAATAAAATACTATATTGATTGAGTTGAATATTTGTCAGCTCGGTGAAGATTCTGTACCGCGTGTTTCCATTTATATTTTTGGATCCACTAATGAGAACAGAATTTTCAGTACTACATGCCACTGTACTATAAGTAAGAAGTCATGGTCTGCTGTCATTCACTTTTCCATAAAGATGGAGACTAATAAATAAACTCCTCATATTGTTAGTCTTACACACTATCTTGTAAAAACTCAAATCGAGGAACATGCTTATTTTCGAAAAATTTCTCACCTGACTTCTTGCTTTATCAGGCTCACATCTACATCATAGTTTCTATGTATCATCACCATTATCATTATTTCAGTGCAGGTAGCTAATGTTGTTTGCATTTATATTGTTTGCATGTCATATTCCAAAATAACTTTAATCCTCATTGAAGTCTGCAGTTGTTTACAGTCTTATACAAATGAATGATTAAGTTGCTTTAGAATATGTATGTTACTACAAACATCTTTGCTTTTGTGTGTTAGTCTCCCTTGAATAAAAGTGTTCTAAGTATTCTAGTTAAAACTTTATACTGATTAAACTAATACAGTTTAAACATTGTAAGTTACCACTACACATTTATGAAGGCTGTTCAAAACTTAAGGTGATGAGATTTTTTCTTTGCTCTGCCCCTCAAAACACAAAGATGTTCATTATTGCTGTGTTATGTTGCTGCATAGATTCCAAATACTTAGGTTATTTTAGTTCTGTTGTTTTATTATAATGTCATTAATACAAGTGGCCATATATTTAAACTGTCTTGTTATCTTATAAGTTTATACAAGATTTACCATAGACCTCAAACAGTTCAAAAACACTGTTCTTCAATCATTTCTTTCAGTTTTGATCATGTTAGCATCACAGTGTTATGAGTTTCCTTCATTTAATTATTCATGTTCCAACTGGCTCTGTGTCCTGGTAGCTTCCTTTTTGTAAGATTTGAGGTTTTTCACAGCGGCGAGTATGAAGATTTCTGTCTTCTGGGTTGTTGCGCTGTGTAGTCTGGTCGATGTTAACCAACGTTTCAGAGGTCATACTGCCTCCGTCATCAGGGCGATGAGTATGAAGATTTCTGTCTTCTGGGTTGTTGCGCTGTGTAGTCTGGTCGATGTTAACCAACGTTTCAGAGGTCATACTGCCTCCGTCATCAGGGCGATATTCATCTACCACCTTATTTTTGAACTTGCCTTATATTTCAAATTAATGATTTAGTAATGTAATTTTGTGTTTGAAATGTACCTTTACTTTGTTCTCTTTTAAAACAAGTGTGATTTTTGTATTGCTTCTGCAGGAGATAAGGCAGGCTGCAGAGTTCCTTGACCTTCCAGAGCTTCTGGTTTTTGTGAGCAATATTCAGGCTCATGAAGAGTTCTTGAACACAGATCTCAAGCAGCAGTACCGCAAGGTGAGAACATTGACCTGCTGAGATTGCTGGGTACATAAATATTTCAGTGAAATGCAGGACCACAGCTAATGCGTGTGTTATGTTGAATCTCTGATAAGCAGTTATAGTGTAATCTGAGATTATTTCACTCTCTTTTATGATGATGTACGCACCTACAGGAACAAGGAAGAAAGATTACCGTTATACTGACTTCTGGACAGCAAATGCAAAAATATTTTAATCAGTAATATAGCTGCTTGACTGATGATAATTGCAATGATAGTATAGTTGTTACACATTCTTTGCATGTAATGCATAAATATATGGAAGGGTTATATCAATCCAATATATGAAGTCCAAGTCAGACCTATAAATTGGTTTCTAAAACAATACACCACATAGATATTATTACATTAAGAAGTGAAATTTTTATTTCAAACATTTCTTGGTATGGAAAATAGGCAGATTAGCTCAGTCAGTACAGTGACTGATTATGGGCTTGTTGACTGGGATTTGACTTCTGCCTGGTATATCATGTCCAAACTGGCACTGGAACCCACTCTGACTTTTATCCACTGTGTACCAGGGGGTGCTTATGTCTCATGGATAATCAGTTGGAACAAGAAGTTGACCACTCAACTACATCTAATGTTGGGATGGTGCTATACCTTGACTCCCACATCTTTGTGGTATGATACTTGCTTGAGCCCAGAGACAATGTTTCTTTACCAAGGAAGAACAAATTATGACTGCAGTTTGTTATCTGTGGTGTGATTAGTGTATGAAAGGCCAGTTGAGCATGGAACGTCAGCAAAAATGCATTTGGAAGTGGAATAATCCATTCCACAATCAGTTTATTTTTGTAGGATTAGATTTCTTTTACATTTTTCTTCATGGAAGAAAACACTTTTTTGTGTTACAAAGTTATTTGGTTGACATTTGATCTGCCCACACAGGCAGTGAGGCAGCGACTGCAAGATATGTGCCTGGGACAGGGACTGTTCTCTGATATAGTGTTCCAGTTGGACGATGGGTCATTTGCAGCCCATCGGCCCATGCTAATGGCTCGCTGTGACATGATGAAAGCCATGTTTTCTGGAGACTTCAGGGAAAGCAGTGCTAAAGTTGTAAGTTCTTTTCAATTTATAATCTTTCTTACGTCATTCCTTTAGTAAGTGTGTGCTAAAGCTCTGAAAGGAGAAACAAATACAAAGTCTGCCATTGAACATGATCCAGACCCAGCTCCATTCACCTTCTACCTTATAACCACCTCTTAAACATCCATCTGATATGCAAAATCATGGAGAACACATGGAAAATAAATGTTCTAGCCATTCTAGTGTCGTGTAAATAATTGTAGCCCTTATTGAAGCAATTGGTGCCAGATTCTCTTCCCAGGTGTTCATGAAGACACATTCCACAAGCTGCTAGTATACTTGTACACTGATGATGTTCCTGCCATCTCTCCTGCTCGTTGCTTGGACCTGCTTGAGTTGGGCAACCGCTTGTGTCTGCCCCGTCTGGT